TTTTTTTGAAGTTGTCTAATAATTTTCAACAAAAAGTTAAACCGCCTTCAGAAAGATAAATGTAATGTTATGGCAAAACAGTTTAAGAAATTGGTGCATTTGATTTCTTCAAGCAATGCTTTCGATTTTTTACCATATCATATTTTTTCTCTTTTTGGAGGTGATAACAAAATCTTAATTATGGCAATCAAATCTCATTTATTTTGTACTTCCTCAGGTTTTAGTCCAACAAAGTCTGTACATCTCAAATCCTTTTAGTGCAAAAGGTACATTCAATATTTTTTCCACATCTTCTTCTGTATCCCTTATTAAATTATCCTAACTGGAGGTGCAATTTATTTTTACCCTTTCATTTTACTTCATGGAATTCTCGGATTTTGCAACTTTTCGTTTTTGAACTTTAGCACTCTTTAACTTTTTTCCCATTATTTTCTTTGTCTTTTTTTAAATTAGTCCTAACTTCTATGTTTTAACTTTCTCTTTATCTGCATAAAATTTTCGCTACTTCACAGATGAAATTGCTGAAGGTGTATGTATACTGTTAGTAGTAGATTTTTTTACAGGTTCTGGTTTAAATAAAGGTTTTTTTACATCTCTATATTCTTTATTTAATAGTACTGAAGCCGATATTTCACTAGTTTGTAGAGGTGTACTAGTCTATTTTATAGGAATATATCAACCAGCACATTTGCTAAAGTTTCAGGGTTCTTTTTTTGCAATGTTTTTTTTGTGTAGTGTTTGCAATGTTCAAATGTTGTTATTGATTAAAGATTTTGATGCATCGGTAGATAAATCCATAGTTACTAGAACATTGTCTTATTAAATCTTCTTCCTAAAACGCAACGTGAATGAAGTATTTCGGGAAATGGCCGTAAACCAAAGCAGTATTCAATTTTCGACTGCACTATTCTTTCATACAATTTTAAGTTGGCCGAAAACCATATGATAATTTTAGACTCGATTCAATTTAGGCCACGGCCGAAATGTGTAATTTAGTTTCATCACTAACCATTCAAATTGCAGTACTTGGTGACCAAAAACTGAAAGGTAATGTCTTCGCAAGGATGCGATCAATGTGGAAATACTATATTAAGTTATTTATACAGTGAAGTATAGGTACAATATTAAATAATCATAATAAATAAAGCACGAAACTTGCTTTTGAGTGGAACACGCGCCACTACTTTTTTTTGCTCCATCTTACTTGCTTAGACGGCACTTGCGTCGGCGTCAAACTGAATTATATATTATAAATCGCGTGTTATGTTTACCCAGTTATGTTGCCAGTTATAGTGCAACTATTTACAAATGCATTAATTTTCATTTAGTACGATAATATTTATTAAAATCGTTACTAAATCCGATTTGGTGCATCACCTGGTGCCAAAGGCCGAAATCTAGACCCGGCGGGCTTACCTTTGCCAAAATGTTATATATGAAAATACTTTTAAAAATATGAAGATTATTTAGCTGAGATCTAAGTATATAAAAATACTAGCTCGCCCTGCAGACGTAGTTTTGCCCGTTCTTGTTAGTGGTGCGATATAATATGTGTTAATGAAACTCCGTTTACACATATTATGCGTATAGCTAGCTACTTTTCTATAGACTTATTATGCGTATAGCTAAATCCTCTTTGTGACTAATAGAATGAACAGCTAAATAAACTTAAAAAACTTAACCCTTCTTTATCTCCTCTAAGCAGATAAAATGTTGCCAATATGTCACGATCGCTTACTACTTACACACCAAATTTCATGTAAATCCGCCCAGTAGTTGGCGTTAATCCTGAACACACAATTTTTCTACAGATTTATTGTATATATAGTATAGATATTGTTCGCGACGGCCAAACAACGCTAAGAAACAAAGTGATAAAGAATATTGTTTTTTGTATTAATAGTGAAATTACCGACAAAACTGGGTGAAAACGTGTATTGATATAGTTTTGTAGCATGTTTATAACTCTTAGTATATTTGTATAGAATGTCGTTTTGATAACAAGTGATGTAAACAACTTTTATTGTATTAAGAAAAATCGACCAATCGCAGCGCGTCTTATCGTAAAACTCTCTAGAAGTTTTTAATTAACTGCGTAAGTTCATACCAAAAATAATGAAAATAATTTTATGTTCTAAAAGAGTTGTAAATATGACATTGAATTAGCATATGGCTTATAGATTAAGAAAGTGTAGGAATATTTTGTATAATTAAACGCATTTGGTAGTTATAAAAAAATCAAAGAATTAATGTACCCAAATATTATGAAAATTTGGGACATTTCGTTTAATAACTTTTTACAATGTTAATGTTTTGAGTAACCTTCATGATATACTAATAAAGTACCAGATTACCGATTTGACGATATATAGCATGTTAGTGTAGCAATTAGTTTTGTATAGAAAATATTGTAATTTATGCCATTTGCATAGTGAAAAGTTTATGCAATAAAGACGCAAAAGGGAAAATGGCAAGCGGCTCACTGTAAGGTATAGCCAAAGTTTACCTTAGGGACTCGGGACCCAGTAGGGTAGTAGTGTGAAGAACTACCAGTGACAAGCAGTAATATCCCGTAGTAGCTGAAGTGACTAGTAGCAGTGTATAGTGAATAGTGAAAGTGTTAGCTAGCCGAAAAAGGTCGTAACTGATATTCGCAGTTACATATAGTGAAAGTGGTAACTGATATCCGCAGTTACACAAGTGATAAAATCAGCTAGTTTAGTTGAAAATAGCTGCTAGTCAGTAGTGTTAGAAAACCAGCTACTACCAATAGATATTTGATACTACCGTACAATTTAAATAAATCTTTTGAAATATACAGTGACCAACCAATAGTGAACAACCGTAGTTGAACAACCGTGGTCAATAAACAATAGTTATAAAATTTCGCGACTAATCAATCAGTCGACCGCTGGCCACTACCTTGCTATTTTTATTTATAAATCGTGCATTTTGATTTGAACCTTAGTCTACAATATCTCAGCGGCACCCACAAAGACGGCAGTGGAAGTACCCTCCGGAACCTATAGGTGTAGGACGTGAGCGACTCGCGAAGTATCTTCGACAACATTTACTCCGAAGAGTTTCGCCCATCCGGCACAGATATGCATAGATGAAATCGTGTGTGTAAGTGCATGATTTCATAAATCTGACTGCCAAAATGCCCTATTAAAATACTTTAAATGGTTGTGAAAATAAATGAGCTCAGATTTGCATGAAAAAATTAAATTATGTGTCATATCTAGCTTGTACAGCAACTCCCTCCCACAGTTGCACGCTCTATCACTGCTACCAATACACTGCACTAATTAAGTCACACTACTGGTGATAATATGACACATACGAAGGTGCATTTTTTAGTTCGCGGAATGGGGGGTAAGGAGTGGAAATAAAAATCCAAATATTCACCTGCTACCCTAATACATTTTTCGGATCTTTCAATTAACTTAATATGTATACCCTCAAAAAAAAATGATTTGTCTTTGTCTAAAAAATACGCCGAAACTGCTTCCTTTACTTCTTCATCACTTAAAAACTTTTTCCCACGAAGTTCTTTTTTTAAGTTTTGAAATAGATAATAATCACTGGGGGCTAGGTCAGTACTATAGGGTGGGTGTGGCAAAATTTCGAAGCCCACCTTCTACAGGGCAGCCATCGCAACATGGCACTTGTGAACAGGCGCGTTGTCCCCTTTTTGGCTTCCTTCAATTGTTCTAGGATTGAAGCGTAGTAATTTCCGGTTATGGAGACACCTTTATCTTTATAATTAATCAATAGGATTCCTTCTGAGTCCCAAAATACTGTCGCCATGATTTTCCCGCCGATTGTCCCACCTTAAATTTCTTGGGTGGTGGTGTACCTTTTTTGTGCCATTGCATAAAGTCCTGTTTGGACTCAGGTTCATAATGGTGAACCCAAGTTTCGTCACCAGTAATAATTCGAGCCAACACTCCATCTTTGTCTTCCATACAGAGGTCAAAAAATGCACGAGAACACTCCCACGCAAACGCACTGTTGCTTTTGAGGCGACGTGAGAATTCTAGGCACATATCTTGCGCTGACTTTAGTCATGTCAAGATGGTCATGAACAATTTTGAAAATATTTGTATCTGATACTACAACCATTTCTGCGAGCTGTTTTTTCTTTAGGTGGGCATCTTCTAATATTAATTTTTCGACTTTTTGAATAAATTCCGAAGTGGTCACCTTGATCGGCCTTCCTGGCCGTGGGTCGTCTTCAAGTGACTCTCTGCCTTGTTTAAAAAGGGTATGCCACTAGTGAACCACAGTTTTACTTGGACCAGAGTCTTCCTAAACGGATGACATCTCTTCCAGTGTAGTCTGAACTGATTTTCCGCGATTGGTAAGGAACTTTATAACTGCACGGAACTCGATTTTATCCATATTTGACAATTTCTTCCCCATTGATTTGTTTGGTTGACGATAACTCAAAGACTAATGATCTAATTACAATTAAACCCCGTATGTATACTAATAATAAGTTGCTCAATTAGCACGTAATTCAGCGACGTCCCCACTTATTCCGCGAACTTAAAAACGCACCCTCGTATTTCGCCTCTAAACAAGGTATTATCAGGAGAAATAGACTCTACTATACAACTGCTATGTGAGTGGTGAGCCAACCTAGCTGCTGAATTATTCAACTTGCTGACGCATTTACTCCCCACATACACAATGTCAGTATTAGCTGCAAAATTAACAGCAAACTACTATAGAACGCAAATCTACCCTTAACTAAGCAATAAATCTTTGGCCACGGTTTGGCCAGCAAACTAGGATAAAATATGTCTATCTGTATTAAAAAAATTTTAGCTAATTAACTTTTACATCTTTAACGTAATGAGTTTCCAAAAAGTATCACCTGTTTCTATTAATTATCTTCAAAAAAACTATGTATCACGTATTATGTGTGAAATTGTGTAAACTATGTATATAAGTATATACTACTTAATTATCAGTAATAGGTGAATATTTTTCAGGGTGTTTAATGTTGTTATTCCAAGGCCAGTAGAAGAACCTTGCAATAAATGGATTGGAACTAGTATCCAGGAAGGCCAGGAAGTTGTGTTTCGGATTGTAGTATTAGATCTTTATGGAGCACTGCCTTACATAAGGGGAGAACTGGATGAGAGGTAACAATATTAACTAGGTACATCCTTATTGACTCTTCAATATGCACACGGTGGTATCCGACCAAGGCGATATTCCGTCAAATTCCAAGCGGTCGGATCCGACCACACCCATCCACAGCACTTTAAACCATAAAAACTTATATTTAGAGACTACTTGTCTATGAAGAAGTTTGGTATTATAGGCTCCATGTGAAATTTTATATCCTCTAATGCAATAAAAACTCAGTTAGTCTGTGGTATTTATTTATAATCTACGTTCATTTCGTACGCCTATTAGGTGTGGCGTGTTATTGTGTCGATTTTTGGATTTTTCTAGGGTGTTATTAGTGTTAAGTATAGGGTGTTATAAGTGTTTAATTATAAAATTGTTATAAAAGTTTTTGTGTGAATATAATTTATCTTTTTACGTAAATGATTTCGAGTAATATATAGAAATAATTATGATACTCACGCTGCTGTCCTGGGTATGTATATTTTTTACTGTGAAAGTACAATTAAAATCCATTTGTAATGAAATAAAAGCACTAAAACAAGTAATATAACATAATAAATATAGAGAAATAAGTATTATATTGAAATTTATAATGAATTTTATTGAAAATAAATGTACGACAAATTTCATGTTAGGTTATTTTTAGCGACGCCGCGTCACGCGAAGCGCGCTAGCGGTGTCGAACATTTAAGATGGGGACTGAGGGGTTAATATCATATTCTTAAAGAATATTATGTCTTATCCAGTCTAAAATGTTGTCCTTGACACTTATTTGTGTTACCCAGATCTATCCTTCTTCTAGTTAAATTCAAGTGTTTTCTTAACGAATGCATAAGAAATTTTTACTACTATCATCATCATCTTCATTACATAACAATCTGTCGCCTTTTACGACACCTACGAGATGATATGTGTTAGTGTATTCTTACGCCACTATACTCCGTTAAAATCTCTAAATATAAAAATCAATTGCTGTCCGTTGTGGACGGCACACACGGTCAGTTCAACTAATCATTCCAACTGATGCTATAAAAAGTAACACAGGTAACATTTTAGAAAAATAATTAGGATTCCGCGCAAAAAATTAAAACTCTTGAAATCCGATCGTAATTAATATGACTATGCGGGCGAAGTCGCGGGAACAGATATTATGTTATAATTTGTATTAAACTTTAACTGAATATTACGTACATTGTAGTTTATAAAAAAATAATGTTTTGCTTTTAATTTTTATATCGATAATTATTGCTTTTTTGTGTATCGTTAATCGCCTTTTTAAATCGATTTAACATTGTTCCATCTCTAGACATGTGAAACTGTAAGCTGTCCACACGCATCATGCTATAACCCAAAGACTATAGGTCTGTTGACATTTTTTAAAATATCGGATTTCCGATATATCGATAATTATAAATATATCGATATCGTAGTTTTATATATAAGTTTATTCAAGTCGTCAAGTAAATTAGTCGTCAAGTAAAGTAGTTCCTCAAGTAAATTAATCGTCAAGTAAAGTAGTTCGTCAAGTAAATTAAGAAATGGTTGTCAAGAAGTTGGTATAACATAACCTAAAAATTCATACAGCTCCTTTCATTGCAAATTTACCCCCTACTGCAGTATTCTGTTATAAAACTTGTTCATTTTCAAACGCAAAGCAATGTGAAACTATTATTATTGTACTCACATTTTATTCCTTAAAACTATGTCAGTAAATAGTAAACTTTTTCGACCATCACAAACTGGCGTTACGGCACAAGAATATTTTGTCAAGAATACAAAATGGCGGTAACCTTAGAGCTTGTCTGTCATACTATAGTGTTGTCAGTAGACATTGCAAAATCTACTAATATTGTAATATAATTGTACTATGAAAAACCCGCGTCAGTAAGTAATGTCAGTAAATGGTGTAAATTATTAGGACACATATATTTTTTCATTTTTTGCATCAAAATCGTATTTGGAATTGAGAATGTCATTTATTAAAGCATGATATGAACACAACTTATTTGCGTGAATTCATTAAAAGTCACAAAAAATAAATACAAAAATATGAAAGTACTTTAAAAAATTGTGCCTAGCAGGACATACCTGAAATGTATGAAGTTCGGTAAAGTAGTAACATTCATGTATTAAAAGAATCATGATTTTACCTAATTTTATTAGTAAACAACAATCCTGATGAGTTTATTAACCGAGTCCATACCATAGTAATTTATGAATCTCAATGAAATCGCAAAATGCATATTATAAAACAAGGGAAGAGGCTTTATATCCATTAGACATCACGAAACACATTAAGTAGAAGTTTTTTGAATATGACTCTTCAGCTTACTAATCCGTTGGACTATGTCGGTTACTCTGGTTCTACTGCGGATATCCTCATTTTTAAGTCTTATTACGCGGAGAAACCCCGAGCATAGCCTTCTCCATAGCTCGCTAAGCGATCTTGAGCTTCCTCATACGGCCAGCAGTGAAGGACAAGGTCTCAGATACATAAGTCATCACAACACGCACTGGTACAATCTTGTTTTGAAGTTTTGAGGTTCGCCTGACGAGATGTATCGTAATCTCCCATGATCTCACTTAATATGCTTATATTATCAAGAAGGCACCTTATAAATTCACATATCGTGACGGGCAGCTACGGAACCCTACCTTTACATTGTGCGTGGCCTGACACGAACTTGGCCAGTTTACAAGTACGTTACTCCTACTCCAGGATTTTCTCCTGTACCGTCAAGGCAGTTTACATATATAAATTGCACAGGGACAAAAATCCAGACCCGGAATAATTAATTACTTTTAGGCCATATAAATACTTGTTTCGTGCGGGATTCGAACAGTTACGTAACCTTTACATTATATTTAATTCAAAATTTCACGCATACTTACACTATTGTATATATATACTGTATGTAATTATTTCTGACTTCTATACGCTTACGAAATTACTCTGCGTATTATAATGTTCTAAACATCTTTGTCTTCGATTTTAAGATAACTTTACTTAAATAATTTAATGTTTTATATTTATTATATAATAAGTGATTACGTATTTGCATTTTGATCTTCATTGAGGATAGATATAGACGTTTATGTTTTTGAACCACAACATCTACTTATCATCATGTGGACTGTGTGCTCGTTTGTCACCCCAATTCTTTGAAAAAAAAAATTATTGGTAAATTATATCCAAATTTAAAATTTTATTCTAGTAGATGTGTACTACATTTTTTAAACCTTTGTTTACATTACAGTTGGTTGGAAAAAGCAAATGAAGAGGAAGACGATGTTGAATCAACATCATCTAAAGCTCAGCCCATCGATATATCTCATGTGGATTTTAATAAAACTAAACCTAGCCAAGAAGAAAAGCACCTTGATGAAGGATTTACGCCAACAGTAACACTAGTTGAAACGAAAACTAAAAGAAAGGATTCTAAAGTATATAAGAAACTGAAAAAATTATAACTTGAACAGATGTACTATATTGTATTATATTTTAAATATATAACGATTTATTCAAATTATGACACATTTTATGTCTTATGTTTAATTATTTTACCTATTCAAGTTCTACTCTAAACAGTGTATCGACAGACCTTGTGTTACGATATATGCTCGTGAGGCTTTGTTTGTATCTACCACGGAGTGCTCAGAGAAATTGTTCGGACTAATTCCAGCCGCTCAATTTCACTATCGCATATCGCGACAAAATTCGCGGGACTATCCATATCACCTGGATGATTGGCGGTCTACCACTGTGTGACTTACAAATTGTCTACCTCGCACAACTTCCTTGTGATATCGACTATCACCAGCGATTTTCCGGGCCGATACGACTTAGGGACCATCAAGAAAAGAGCCTAATGTTTTAAAAGGCTGGAAATGCATCTGCAATTCCCTGATGTTGCAGTTGTTCATGAGCTGAGGTAGTCACTTACCATCAGATGAGTCGCATGCTCGTTTGCCCCACTCATACATAAAAAAAGGTTGTGCGGTACCTAATTAATGGATAACCCTAAAATACATCATGGCAAAATAGCCATTCAGAAAAAAATACAAAAAAATATCCCATGTAGTACCTTGTGCACACCCAATGATGGCTCTGCAACCCGCAGAACTTCTCTCACCCACAGCATTAGCATTCCAGATCTCACTAAAGCGTCACCTTCTTTGATTTCACATCTGTCCTAGTCTTTTCTTCAAAATATAAGTGATCACTTACCTATTATAATATCCCTACTCCATTCTCCTTCTTCGCCCTCTCCTCTGAACCCGCATTTCCCACTAAAATTAAGATTATCTCAGAAAAACTGGGATAAATACTCTACTACACTGGAGAATAAAATTCTATCCCATCATTTTGTTAATGGTCATAAGTTTCTTAAAGTATTAGTCTTATTTATTTCATGCATAACTTTAGCAGCACAAGAGAGAAATGTGGGGAGAGGGCCGTACTTACCCCACCATCGTGGGATGCTAAATGCTGTACTATGGTTCATAAAAGATAGCTTGATCTCTGCGACAGCTGCACTTATTAGGTCGGCATGCCCATAAAGTATGACATTGACTGTCTGTACTACTAAGAAATTCAGGACTTCATAGGCGTGATTTTTACTGACAGCTGTCGCAGAGATCAAACTATCTTTTATGAACTATAGTGTAAATCCCGTAATAATTCTGAAAATACCTAATTATGTCAAAAATTTAAACCTCGAAAATTACTTGCAATATAAGAGAATTCGCTTGCACAAGAAGATTACTTTCAAAGACAAGATCTCTGGGTCTATATCACTTTTATACACAAAATTTTTACTCTTATACGTAAATTATCACCTCGTACGCCCTTTCATTACATGGAAAAAATAGCGTAACGTTTTCACTGACTAACCCCTCTTCAATGACCCTATTTTATGGCTGAACAATTTCGTTCATAAATTAGCTCATCCATTTGACCCTAATGATGATTCAACACCAATGTCTCAGACTAAGCCTACCCCACATGATACTGTTGCGCGCCTAATTTGACGTCATGTACCCGGCACTAGCGCCATCTAGTGTCGAAACGAAGAACTAAGCTTCTAGAAGCCGACACTCGAACTTTCGACGCCTTGCGCGAATTTACTTGAATGTTCTGGATGTTTCGGTGCTAATGTGTACTTATAGGCGCTGCAAGGTGCGATCGGGGAAGTATTGAATTTGGCGAGACAAGCGAAGCTTCGGAGCGGAATAAAGTGAATCAGTGTGATTAATTATTAGTGTTTTAAGTTTAATTAGTGTAAAGTGAATTAAAGAGTTAATTTTGGTAATTCTATCGGCAATTTTTATTGTCACGAACCTCAAGCCCGTAACAATACAATGAACGATCCCTTTTCTTATGCTAAACTTGTGTGTGCTTTAGACCACTTCCGCGATTCCTTTCTAGGCATAAATGGTATTTTTACTCTTTCATTTTCGTGTCATATAAGCCTATTAAACTCTATTTCAATTCTCTATTTCCTCTATCATTAACTCGATATTCCTATCTGGACACATCCTTGAGCCATGGAAGACACAAATAATAATTCCTATACTAAAGATAAGTAAAAACACAAATGAGTCACATTCGTACCGCTCAATCGCGTTATCATCTACTTTATCCAAAGTCATCTCAATCAAGGAACGTCTTATAGAAATCCGCTGAGAATGGATCTTAGAAAATAGAGGAATACTTTGTAAAAGTCAATTTCATTTTAGACGTGTCATAGCTTAGGCACCTAATTGTCGTTACCTCAGAAATCCGTCTAGCACTTTTATTAGCATTAGCATAGCGGAATTTGAGTCTTCCTTGACATCACCATTCTATAAAGAACATTTCAACGGTCCTTTTTTTGCAATACGAAGATCACTCAATAAGTTTTAAGATGCTCGACATTTAAAAATGGAACGCACCCTTATAGAATAGAACTCCATAAGCCAATTGCTCAATATTTAAAAAAAGTTCTATTAATTTTCCTGCAACGCTTCCCGCGCTTTTCATTTAAAGCGATGGATCTTAACCGTGAACATTTGCGCGCAATGATCTATTATGATTTTAAATTTGGTTTAACCGATCAATAAAGTTTACAACGGTTACAATACTACTGAAATATAAGTTCGAGAAGACCCACGAATCACATATACGGGCATCGAAAAAATTGTAGGCAGGTGTTCGGGGAGCATTCATACCATCCTACATCAATATCTTGGAGTGAGGAAGGTTTGTTGTCGATGGATCCCTCGTTTGCTCTCCGAAAGCGAAAAACAGACTCGTGTGGATTGGTGCCACAAAATGCGTCTACGTTTTGAAAACGGGGCATCTAGGCGTGTTTCAGAAATCGTTACTGGTGACGAGACTTAGATCTATCAATATGATCCGGAAAACAAAAGGCAATTATCGGTATGGGTCTACTCATAAGGACAGTTACCGACAAAACTGCAAAGACCACGCAACGTCGGGAAAAAAAATGGTGGCTGGATTTTTTTGCGGAGCGGACACATTTGTCGGCGTCAATGTTGGAAAACTGTAGGTCAGTCAACTCTGAACGGTATACTACAGTTGCATTACCCGAAGCTTTTCAAGCTGTGCGTGAGAGAATACCAATTGGAGAATCAAGAAATAAGATCGAGCTTCGGGGAATCATGCTACATCACGATAACACCTCTTCACGTACCACTCTTAGAACAAAAGCATTTATTGAGGAATCTGGTGTTGAAACTCTAAGTCACCCACCCTACAGCCCTGACTTAGCACCTTGTGGTTTCTTTTTGTTCTCAAGAGTCAAAGAAAAAATAAAAGGCAAGTTTTTTTAAGCGAAGAAGCCGTGGCTGCCTACGAAGAAGCAATTTCCAACCTGTCAGATCAAGACTGGCAAAAGTGTTTTCTTAGTTGGTTTAGTAGAATGGAAATTTATATTGAGCATGATGATGAATATTTTGAAAAGATGTAAAATAAATATTAATAGTATCTAATACTTTTTGTATATCTCAAAACTTATTGAGTGTCCTACGTATCTTTTTATATTTCTCAACTTTGCCATTAGCAGGGAATCACTGGTTCAAAGACTGAGCCATTTTTCCTTTAAAATAAAAAAAATCATTGCAGAAGAGACTTCACTCTCGGTCTTCTGGTAAGTAATTATGGAAAATATGTATTGGGCAATACGAGGCAAAGTATTAACTACTGGGGTTGTTAGTCTTTGTGATATCATATACCCATCTTTATATTTATACTCACCTTTTAAACTTTAATTATTTTGATTACGGGAACACTCGGCGTCACAGCCAAGTAGAAGGGAAATAAAAAACCTCCCGTGGACTAACAGGCCGAAGAAGGAAACTCCGTTATAAAACCCCTGCCACATGCTGCTTCAACATATTTGGAGTTAAGGTCTTGAGCAGTGCTGTTTGCTTAGGCTGGAGCACTATAGAAGGGACGGCGGCGGAAGAGCTCATGACGAGTCAATGGCGGTGCCCTTAACCCTGGAAAGGGGTGATAGCCTTGGCTGGCTTGGGGAAAAAATCTCCTAGTGTGAAAGCAAAGCATAAAAGAAAAGGTATAAAGGGCTAGGGCATACCCCTCAAGCGACGAGCAAATACGATCCCAAGCGATAAATGCTAAGGCGTCCCCTATAAGCGACGAAACAAGACGCAGCGCAAATAATTTGCATATAGCTACATGAAACATCGGTTCACTTACCGGATGCAGTCAAGAATTAGCAAACATATTGCATGCATGAAATATTAAAATCTGTTGTATACAGGAACCAATTTGATCTCCTGATCGTTAACGATCAAACGAATTCCACATGTTTTGCCTAAAAACCGCCAGAACAACCCTAGGTGTTACGAAAGCAAAATTGAGGATTAATAAAGATCCTACTCCATTTTTATGACGGCATTCATGACTTCATAGGCGTAATTTTTACTGACAGCTGTCGCAGAGATCAAGCTATCTTTTATGAACTATAAAAAGAGAGCTAAAAATGTGTTGCAGTAACAAAAGCACTGTCCAAAGATCAATTTTATAAAGAATTTGAAAACGCAAAATCAGACGCAGAAATATTAAGGACCCACTAACCCATATCGTGTCGTAAGAGGCGACAGAGGGAATCAAATCAGGAAATGGACGCATCAACTTCTCAATAACGAATTAAAAAAACTGCGGTTGCCAACCCGCTTGCCAATTAGCAAAATATCGAAATAACCAAAAAAGAGATATCAAACCTAACAAATATATCAGGGACTCATCGGGTAAATTGTTAACCACAGACAAAGATATTAGTCAGAGATGGCGAGAATACTACAAAACACTACTGAACGAAAAATTTCTATAATAACCGCTCACATTCCTCGGATTCACGGAAGGACCAAATAAGGAAATTTCACGCCAGGAAGTAAAGGCAGCCATTCAAAGAATGAAAAATAAGAAAGCAGCCGGACCCGATGAG